GGCACAAAAGATGTGGCTGAAATTTTCCCACGCCTGGCTACTACCATCTACAGGAACCTACAAAAATTTTCGCCTATGGCTACAAGATTTCTTTACCTTCCCAATGAAGCAAAACGAAGAACCGAGGATAGTTTCCTGTTTCTCACTACTAGTATCCTAAATAACTATATTTCGTATGCTTTTCTACTTCTTTAACTCAAAAAACAACTTCGATAGTACTAAAATTACCAAAAAAAGAAGAAGAAGAAGGATAGTACTAAATAGGCTTTGAATCATATATGTGTGGGCTTACAGTGGCCCAAATTCATCGTTTGTGAATAGTTGAAAACGGCGCACATTTCTCATCTCTAAGAGCGAAACGTTATGTAAGTCGAAATCTCATCGTCACAAAAGATCAAACGGTAGTAGAAACGCAACGGCGAACGGAAACCCAGAGAAAAGAGATGGTGGCGATATCGATGTACAGAGGCAACCTCCACAAAGTTCCCGACGTTCCTCGCCGGTGGAGGATGCCGGAGCGTAATCTCTCTTTCAAGGATTTCAAATCTCTCCTTCATCGCCGTAAACGAGCTCTTTCTCGTATCCCCCTTAATTCCAACCCTAACTTGAGCCTTAACGTCAAGACTGAGCTGGTTACTAATCAGGAGGATGCGATTTTATCTGAACGGCTTCGTTCTTCTGGGAAGCAGAAGCTCGTTGAGGTGAAGAGCGAGGAGATTGGTGTGGATCGGGTTAGGGAGGATGCGAATGGCAGATGTCATGGTTTCGAAGGAGCTGTAGCACAAGGATCGGACGGTGGAGATCGTTCCGGGAGAGCTATGGAAACTGATAATGCGCCACACGAGGGTTTGGCGAACGGGAAAGCCGAGGTATGTTTGAATGTGTTTGAAATTGACCTCTTTCCAGATATTCCGATGAAATTTGAGTACATAGGAATATTGGGAAAGCTTGGTCAATTTAGGTGAATTTATCATTGGTAGTGTCTGCTTTGTTCAACTGTAGAAAAACCATTGTATAAGGCAAGCGGGTATGATCACAAGCAGAATGCTACTTTGATGTATGCCCTCAAGTAGGTTAAGTTGCATTGATGGATGTTGTGATGGAATGAGGCTATAGATGAAACAATTAGCTGCAATAGAATTACTAGTTTGGCTATCATAAGCTTGTAGATTGTAGAGAGCTTGTCTTAGATTTCGCCAATCAGTGATGTCCTTATCAACTTGCTTTTCTATAGGCGAAGGAAACAGTTGAAGAAATACCAAGCGAAATAGAGACAAAACAGAAAGAAGTGGAGGAGAGATTGCAAGTGTTGAATGCAAAGAAACACAATCTAGTCCAAGTGCTTAAGCAGGTCAGTTCACTGCCTGTTTATTCTCTCTGTAATTGTGTTTCTGCTATTACCAATACCCGTTTATTGAAGTAATCATAACTGTCAAACTAAATACACAGATTTTGAATGCCGAGGAAGAATTAAAAAGGCGTAGTATCATGCAGCAACAAGGAACAACAGCGACTCGTCCTTCCCTTCCACTCCATGTGGATGTCTCTAATGATTCAGGAGGTAATGCTGGCGCTCACATGGAAGGTGGAGAAACCGATGATGCAGCGAATCAAAATAATGCTCAAGCTCGTACTGTGCTTCGACTTTGTGGTGCTTCTTCGTCATCTGAATCTCCTCTCAGACGAGCAGCTGCCTTTTCGCAACACAGTATGGTAAATGTTCAAAAGTTCCTCCATCTTATACGCAAAAGAAATGAACTAGAATAACAACATAGATAGAAATCGTTGGATCCAACATAATATACTTGGCCTCTCTTTTTCTTTTTGCTCAAATTCTGGTCATAGAGCTCTTTCCATTCGTATATAATTGAATATTGTTGCCGTTTGTCAGGTTCCGCATCCTTCTCGAGGGAGCCCACGTGTTGGTCCCTCTCAACCTGTGAATCCGAGTTCTGCTGCAGTTACTGTTTCTGCTTCAGGAACAAACTACATTGCTTCATCTCCTTCACCGGCTGGTTCTGGTGGCACTTCTGTGTTTAGGGAATCACGGCTTCAGAGTCCATGGAATTAGCAGCATCTCTGTTATCGCCTTCCATTGTTTGCACTAACTTCCTCGTCTTCTTTTTTGTAGCTGTGAAAAGAAAACTAGTGTGATATGTCGAAAACGTGTTGATACCGATTGATGTATAAATATGATTTTCAGAGTCATATAGTCGTGTGAGTACTTTCTATTGGTTACGGTTGGTGACACAAAATGATAAGCGAATATTGCAAAATGCAGCCTATTACAGGAAATAACGAGGAGCTACAAAACAGAGTTAACAGGAAAAAATATAAAGTGAATTAAAGAACTGTAGTGACAATTAGAGAAAAGAATTGGACTCAAGTTTCACGCTTTTATGTTTCCATGGTTTGCTTTTGGCCATATGATTCCTATATGCATCTAGCCAACAAGTTAGACGAGAAAGGTCTGAAGCAACTTAAACCCCTCAGTCCTCACGTTGATGGCCTCCCGAGACAGCCTCGGATATTCCAATCTCCTCTCGGAAGTTCTTGTTATGGATCTAACATGTGATCAGGTACCTGCTGCAGTTGTTGCTAAAAGTCAAGAGTGTAAATTACCATATCGTATTTACAGCAGGTATCGCTATGGGTCTTGATCCTGCTGCTGAATTATCCTTCATCGGAGTTTGTCTTGAGTGGACACAAAGAAGTTCACGTTTATTTGCTCTTCACGAGTTCCTACCAGAGGCGTTTCCACCGAAAACCACTGGTCTTATGAATTGCGATGTCATTTCTATAAGAACTTGTAAAGAAGTCGAAGGTAAATTCTGCGATGTCATTTCTAATACTAGTGTTTTTTTTTTTTTCTTGCGTTGGGAAGCCTAGCTAGTCTTTTTGAGAAAGAGCAATTTCAAGAACTTTTGTCTAGGAATGGAGTTACCAGGGTTTTAGTAGTTGTAAAGCCACCAAGAGGATTCCAGAAGCGTTACCAAAAGGATTCGAAGAGCGAGTCAAGGGACATGGAGTGGTATGGGTGGAGTAACCGTTGATATTTTCTCACCCATCAATAATAGGTTGTTTTGTAAACCATTGTGGGCCTGGGTCAATGTCTAATGAGTGTTTATTCCGCATTTGGGTGATCAGTTTTTAACCACGAAATTGCTAACAGAGGAACTCAAAGTGTCTGTCAAGGTGCAGAGAGAACTGGAAACATGATGGTTCTCGAAGGAGAGCTTGAGAGACGCACTTATGTTTCGATAGCAAATTAGGGAAGCTAGTGAGGAAGAGCCAAGGAGACTTTGTTTAGTCCTCGATTATTGGGTGGTTAAGTTGATAAGTTTGTACAAGCATTGCATAATCTAGTCTTGAATACAAATCTTGAATGAAATACATTTCTCCGAGATGATTTATATGCACCGGGATAACTTGTATTTCGAACTTCGTTTTAGTTATATGACAAAAGACAGCAAATTTACAACAATCTTATATTTTATAAAACTTGGGAATAAAGTTAACTACGAAAAATAAAGAAAAACTTACTCCACTCGGTGTGTCGCAAGATGGAGCAGTGTGCGAAAGAATTGAGGAGGATACAATGGCGGCTGCTCTGCTAATGCCTTTAGTTTTCCAAAACAAAACAAGAATGTGTTTATGTCAATGTCTCATGAGAGTTTTTCTGTTAAACAATTAAGGCTCTAGCCTTCTTCAAATAAGTAAAAGATTTGGAGATATTGAGATAATGTAAGAAATGTTTGTCTCGTGACCCGAAAATCTAGAGGCTCAAAATCTATCACTATCTTAAATTGGCTATGCTCTTTCTCTATCCGGAAACACTATAACCGAACTTAAGATCTTTGTGCTGGGTATAATTTTATGATAAGAAACCATCACAAACCAAAACAAACGAGTTTTGTGGTTTCAATTTAGTTGATATACTTCCTAAACAAAATAGAAGATGAACCAATTCCAGGATCGAACATATATGAGTGCAAAAGTCACCTGTTGGATTAATACAGTGGAAGGAGTCATTCCCGGAACTGTGTTCACCTCTATAACCAGCACCTGCACAACTTCTTTCTTAGAACCAGAAAAAAATGATGATCTTGTACTGAAAGATGAAAGTAAACATTCGTAGAATGCAAAGTGATTCTCTGGGTCGTGAAGTACCTCTCCTGTTTCAACGTGCACGAAAGCATCGATCCTTGAAAACCCCTCTAACCCAAGAGTTTCCGCAATCAGCTCAATGCCCTGTTTGCATCTTTCCAAAGCTTCCTTACTGAAATCACTCAACTCATAAGCTTTTATATACAGATATATTTTTCTCCGTGTATGTGCTTTTTCCATTGTTATACTGAATGAACAAAGCTAACAAAACCACACGAGACCAAAAAAAAGAACGGATAGAAACCTTGATTCAGTTCAGTTTAATTAGATTTGGAGAGATGCAAAACTAAACCCACAAAAACGAAGTGAAACACATTTTAGTTGAAGATCTTTAACAAACAATACAAAGCAATAAAAAAAACCAAGTCGCGCTGAATTAAAGTGGATTTCAAACTGTTTATAAGTTTCTTAGACCAAGAACCAAAACCCGGATTGAACATGTGACATAAAAAAATTTCAAGTATTTCTATGAGCTTAAATAGGCCCCCTTGTCTTTTCATACACAGTATAATACTCTCTCTAGTCAGTATATGTTGTCTTTATCTTTTATACGTTCTAATAAATACCACAAAACAAGCTTTATACAAAAGTAGGTTTGGTAACAAACCTCATGATTGCTGGTGGAGGTGGAGTAAGGTTTATGCCAGTGCCACCTTATAAACATATAGTTACATACACCATTGTAAAGACTAATACAAATGTAAAGATGACATGAAGTGGCAAAGAAAGACGAGTGGTAGTACCTTGGAATTTCTCCTCGAGTGACAATATATCACCACTTTCCTTGACAGTAAGACTAGGACTCAGTGAATGCATTGACCCACGCTTTCCGATTACTCCCACGGTTATCTCTACCCACCGCCTCCTACCTTTCCAAGAGAGCTGCTGTTTGGCTTTGGATGAAACTATGATTTCATCGGTCTCAACAAATGGTTCAAAAATCAATTGCTCAGGTGTAGGATTTGGCATCTCAATCATTCCATGTGTCTACACAAAAGAGGAGATAGAGATTTGCATATCCTGCTTTGTAACTGAAGGCCTTGTTGTATTATAGAATGATCTTTTTTTACCTTAGAAAAAGAGTTTGGAGGAATCCTTGGTAGACAATCCTTTAAAGCTTGTACATATACAGCAAGGTCTTCACAGGAGCTGTAGGAAAGCCCAAAGGTTTTACAAAATAAGATAAAAAAACTAGTGGATATGATGACTTTTGAATAACAGTTACCATAATCTTGCAACACCAGTGGAACATCCATCCCTTGCTGGTTTAACACACAGTGTCAGACACTGAAACTTGGTTATCAATTCATCCCAAATCTTTGGAATGGTCTCATACATTATATCATCTGTTCTCTTCACAACTTTGCTAATGGTATGAACTCCAAACTCTGAAAGCTGTTGATTATGAGAAACAAAAAAAATGTAATTTGTAAACTCAACCGAATACTACTCACGTTTTTCAATATGTTGGATTCACGAGTATATTGACTTGTAACCGTACATGACTAAGAGCCTGCGATGTCATAACCTTGTCCACGCAAGTCCTGGAAGAGACTATGCCTGGACCTTTGTTTACGAATGGAAGAGGAAAATAAAAAAAATCAGGTGAACATATTTCATGTCATGTGGATAATGAAAGAGAAACCTGAATGCTGTATCATAAGTAGCAACGAACCTGTGTAAGCAACTCCTTCATCCTCCAGTAATTCCTGCAGTGTGCCATCTTCCCCAATTCCTCCATGCACTGCCATTTCGCATTTGAAAAAATAAAAAACAAATTAAGGTTATAGCAACTAAGCGTGAGTTGCATACATAATGGAAGCACTCTCTTAACAGAGAAAAGTGCTTCTGGAGGAGTACCAACATTATTACGTTAACAAAAACAAAAAAAATATCAGGATCCCCAACTTCTGTCTTTTTCTAGCCATTTGGTAAATGGGCTTTTGATTTAATTTGTTGATGGCTTTTTTTTCATAATATTATACTTGTTTATGTCAATACAAGATAGGAAACATTGCAATCTCTCAGTTATAAGACTGACCTGCAATGAAGACGGTTGCTTGAGCTTCCTTGGCAAGCTTGATCCACTCTTTCAACGAGAATTTCATGGGTAGTTCGTCTGTTATATCAAACCCTGCAAACCAGCTTTGATCCTTCAAACCATCCATAAGATCCTCCATCACTTGCTTCTGTAGCCGAGATGTAAATAGAGCCCGATCAGGCTCAATTGCTTCCACACACTCTGCAAGAATTTCCTCAGCAGTGTGCCTTAGCACAACAGAGTAGCTGAGAAGAAAGAAAATCATTGGTGATGTGGAATGATATAGCTTTAAATTGAGGAAAGTCAAAATATTTTCATGCATGCACGTGAACTGCCAAAATGTGTTGTTCCACTCTATATAAGCTTTGCCTTGTTGGGCATCAATGCAGTATTGTATTTGAGGTCAACGTTTGTATATAACTGTAGACTACTATAAATCTTATTTCTGGTTTGAGTCCGAGAATATACTTACGGTAATAACCAGACTTCTCTATTGTCCAAATCAGATTTTGTTTTGTCCAGAAATGCCCCTGATGAGTTGCCAAGTGATGGGGAAAGCAAGCAGGGAGTCACCTTGAGCTGCAAACAACAAGATCGCCAGAGTCAGGGAATTGTTGTTGCACCTGCGGTTTAGCTTATCGCTTATAGATTAACGGCAATGCCAACTGGAATTGATGATTTCATACGATGTATGATTACACTTCAACTGAAAATTCTGTATTCTTTTCAACTTACATCAACAAATCTTTGCAAATTCATCCAGACATTTGTTCCACTCATGACGGAGACCTGCCGCTCTGACGTGTCTCCGCCAAATATGACAAACACTTTCTGGACGTCCCTGGAGGTTTGGGTTGCTGAACTTCGGAGTAAATGACTAGACCCATAGTTATACCAAGTAAGATGGGGAAACCTTGAGCTAGCACGGTGGACGATTGTTCGTAAAATGTTTGAATGAGAAAACCCAACCTGAAATGTAAGAATCAGTGATCTACATAAACAGTCATGTATATATAAACATCTAACCTGAGTTCTCGAGTGACTAGGCATGCATGAAACAAAATAGGAATGAACAATACATTAAAGCTTAAATTCCTAGGAAGAGAAAAATAAAGACGCGAATCTTCATGAATCATATTATTTTTATTATCACTGTATTGATTATACTTAGGAGTTAGGAAGAAATAGGGTACAATCACAAACATTTCACAAATTATGAGAAGACAAGTTTGATAGAGTAGGGCACAGTTTGAATTTTGAAGCACATCTTTAACATAACCGTCAAGTTACAATATCTTTAGTTACCTTAGACGCCTGCTGGAAGAGAAAGCTATTTTGTTCCATGCCACTTATCTGCAAAAGCAATTGAGAAATGCATCCAAGTGTTATGTATAAGAGAAATGCAAGGTACAAATAAATACTAAGACCGAAAAATTGCAATTGGCTAATGGCTAACCAAGTTGATGTCTGTGAATATAATATCCCTTGACATGAGTCCTCCAAGCGTTTCACTTGCGGATGATGATAAATTTGAAGTGGGAGCCAAATACCATCCATCAATGCGAGCAAAATCACGAAGACTTAGCTTTTGAAATAGAAGAGATGCCTCTTCACGGATACTTTTGATAACATGGATAGGGAAACGAGGAGGGGTGTAATAGGTGACCTGTTTATTTTGAATAAACACATTGTGGAGGAAATAAAGCTACTAAAATTGGAACTCAACATACTGAGAAACCACTTTTGAGACAGCTAAAAAAAACAAAGGCCCCTCGTTTAGCATTTTGAAATACAGAATCAAGGGCATGAAAGAAATCAATGTGTTCCAGACGCACCTTTCATTATGGTAACGGAAATTGCAAGAATCACGTTTCTTTCAGTACCTGTTGTGTCGGCAGATACTTCCTCCGGTAGTCAAAGATTGCATCTTCCTTTGGTTCAACAGTGTCATGGAACTGAAGTTGCACCTGACCACATAAGTATTTGGACACATAAGTAATTAAGCATGATAGTAAGGTAGAGATTTCAATATAACCCAAAGCCGGGGTCTATCACTTTCTTCAAATGGAAAGTCATCAAACAATGGAAAATAAATGTTTAAAAAGGAGTTCTGACATCTGCTTCCAATTTAGTGAAAAATATAAAAGAGGTCCAATTTTTACAAGTCCAAGATCAACATGATTCATGTAAAAATGGTCCATAGATCACTTGAGACTGAACTTCAGACCAAAAAGACATCTGGCACAAGCTCTGAACCCGTGAAACTCAGAAAGTAACTGAAAATGTGATTACCTCAGAGGGCAGCAGCACAACAGGATGACAATCAGAACCAGAACCTACATCCAAGACGATGGCAGTGAACTCATATGCATTTTCAATAAACACCTCAACAACAACCCTATCGTCAATTCCCTGTCGGACCACAGAAGGAAACAACAAACTGCCCGTGAACGTGAAGAAATAGCTTACAATCCTGAATGAACATAAATATCTATTTTCCAGAAATAAGAGATTTCCATTCTATCACTTTCAAGTTCCTACTCGGATTGATTGTCCAAGCTTCAAAACAATGGATACCTCTAGAATAAGTTCAGTAGCCTTCTTAATTGAATCATTTACGCCAAAAGCAACCTTGACACCAATGCTTGATCCTGCTCTAGCTGGTTTAACCTGAAAACAGGCAGACGTGAAGGGAAGGAAAAAAAACAAATGAAGAGCATATGGAATCTCTAGGCAACATATTCTACAACCATACTGAGAAATAGCCGGATGCTTCTTACCACGACTCTTCCCACCTTGAGGTCCAGATGGTTAGCTGTAAACCATTGTTGTATTTCACTTTCGTCTACTACAGTTCCCTATTAATAGGAAAAAAATATCAGCAGCTAGAAATATGGTTACAAATATAGATCAGATCTGTCTACACATAATTACATAGAAAATGATTGCAGATAGAGAGCCGTGCCTGCATTAACAATATACTACCTGCACCAAGTAGTTTGGTACTGCCATGAACCCATGTGCCTTTAGCTCCAAAGAGGCTTCATACTGGAATTAGTTAAATGAAAATAGTCAGAAGAACTGTACTAATTAAGCTGTAGATGCAACACAAGGAGAGCTAGCTAATTAAGATGTAAACGATTATCTGATAAACAACCTGTTCATCTACTCTTATTATTTACCTTGTCAAATGCTCGGCGGCATTCACGGGATCCAGTCCCCACAAATGGAATGTTATGACTCTCCAACAGCTCCTGCATAAATTTTATTAAAGTTCCGTAACATTAATACTTTCAATAGAAAACAAACCCCAAAATTTACAGAACAAGAAACCTGAATGCCCCCATCTTCACCAAATCGACCATGAATAACCGGGAAAACAATGTCCACAGCGGAAAAAAGATGCTCGGCCAGTTCTGATAATGAAGAGAATCCCTGCGCAAGACTACATCACGAAACAAACAACTATTATTGTCCGATGATCGAGTCTCAGAATCCTTGTATATTATATAACTCACCTCTCGAGCTTGAAATCAAAATCTGCCGGAGTATTCGAGTAGAGCTGAAATTTATCACAAAAAAAAAGAAGAAGATTAAAGATACATAGAGCAGAAATTGACAATACAAGGAAGCAAACCTGAGCAGAGGAAATCGCAAAAGCTTTGAGATCAGGATCTATATAATAGCAGCTCACGCTTAAACCATTACCCTGATTCATCACAATCGAAACAAATCAGAAAATAAACAGATCCAATCTCAATTGATCAAAGGGGAAAAAGGAATTTCAGGATTTAAAAGAACCTGAATATGATCGAGAACTGATCTAGCAGAGTTGAGAGAAATCCCACGCTCCGCCGATGGACCTCCGCAAATGAGTCCAACTCTCAGATTCCTACTCGTCTTCTCCTCGACCCAATTCGAGACGGTGGTTCGTATTTCTCCGGAGCTCCGATGCTTTTTCGTCCCCAAAAACCTGGATGTACTCTCGCTCCGTGAGTTCTTCTGATTCAGCTTCAATGTCGTCGGTGCGGCCATCGCTACTCGATCATCACCGTCTACTCCTCCGCTTCCTGTGCCTCTAGTCATCGATAAGCTGACGCCGATCGCCATGGACGCCATCTCCAAAGAGAAGCTTAAAATTTCCTTCGTACTAAACAGAATCTTTTGTTCTTTACCACAAGAGTGAACTGTTTTCGAAACGAAGAGCATTCGAGGCAAAAATTCCTAGCTACACGTGCCAGCCCAGCATTTCATTGTGAGTTTTTTTAAGAGCCTCTCACAATTAAAAAAAATAATAAAACTAGAAAATGGGAAAAGACAAAATGAAAAACAATCTCTCAAAATGAATAAGGTATCTTCTTTGAGAGATTTTTGGTTTGAGTAAAGTTCGCCCTAACCGCATGAGAAGGAGACAAAAAGTACGATCTCTTTGGTTTTTCGGCCGGTGGACGGAGGCTCTGTTAGTTCCGCTGTCGGCCATGATGTGCTTCTCTATGATTTCTCCTAAGTTTCTTTGGTGTTTGGGTTACCTCGGCTGTATCGGTGGTCATAAATCGCAGGTCAAAGTTTTTGGTGTTTGGGTTCCTCGGCCGTAACGATGGTCATAAACCGTATGGTTGTTTCGTTTTTCGTCTTAGAATGTCTATGTGGTGTTGGCGTTTAGTCTGGGTGTGGTCTGGTTTAAGTCATGGGGGATGGTGTCGGTGGACTTTAAATCAATGGCATGATATTGTCTATTGAGCTTCTCTGGAGGTTATGATTAATATGGGGTCTCGGTTCCGGATATCTAGTGATACCTCGGAGCTTCAAAAGCGCTTTCTTTGCTCCGATTTGATGTGTCCTCTTCGCCATCGACTTGTCTTTTAGAGGACGAATAAAGCTGTGAAAGGTGCGGTGATGATGAAGATGTTCTTGGGGCAGGTCTTCCCCGTTCAACGACTAAGATTCCTCGCTCTCCGTCTTTCTGAATAATTCTTCTTGCGGCGATGCATATCAACAACTTTTTCTCAATGATATTGAGTTGAATATCAATGAAGAAGTTTCAGAGTGGCTTGGATCCTTATTCCTTTGTTGAGACTCTTCTTTGTCTTTGTTTTTCAATGTTATAGCCTTCCAACTTTTGTTCTAGTTTCGGATTTAAGTTGTGGATATGTGATTGAGTAGTGGGTATGAGTATCATGTGTGGAGGGATTTAGTCGTGGTTTTAAGTTTTGGGTATGTGGCTCTCCTTTGTGGGATTGAGTATTATCATTTGTATTTCATCTTGAGGTTATTAATAATTCACCAGATGGAAAAAAAAACAAAAAAACTAAAATATCTTAATGAGAGACTGATATATCATATTTTTTCTCCTAATTGGCTCA